GAAGAGTTGACTCATTGGAAAAGACCCTGATGCTGGGAGGGATTGGGGGCAGGAGGAGAAGGGGACGACAGAGGATAAGATGGCTGGATGGCATCACCAACTCGATGGACCTGAGTTTGAGTAAACTCCGGGAGTTGGTGATGAACAGGGAGGCCTGGCCTGCTGCGATTCATGGGGTCTCGAAGAGTCGGACGCGACTGAGAGACTAAACTGAAGTGAACTGAACTACCCCTAAACTGTTCAGGTACAATTAACAAAAGATTTTAATTATCCTCTGTCCTCTTGTCATATGAATAAAATTATGTTTTCTTAGTTATGGGTATCACCTACCTAGTGATATGTATTTTCAAGTTTTGTATTAATGAATCAATGGCAAATAATCTGTGTTTTGATGGAATCCAGTGTTTATTGCCACCCACTCTCTGCCACATTGATGGGGTAAAGAAGAACAAGCCTGGTGAAGAACAGGAGTGGTTGAAGCGGCTTCAAGAGGTTAGTGAAATGGGAAACCTGTGCCGGAGGCTTGAGGGATGGAGATGTTTGACTGAGGAAGGTTTGGACTCACAGCAAGAGGGAGGAGTTTCAGTTTTATCCTTTACACTAGTGACTCTGCTCCCTGCTTCACTGAGAAACTGGGAGCTATCAGAAGAGAACTTTCCTGAGCTCTGGGCCATGCCATCCCAGGAGCCTGCACGATGCTCCTGGGTGCTCAGCGCTCCCCCCGGGTGCTCCGTGCTCCCCCCAGGTGCTCGGTGCTCCCCAGGCCTGCGGGGACCAGCCCTCCTCCTGGGTCTCCGTTTCCTCCAGGCCCCCCTCTCAATTCTGCGTCGCTAATTTCTCCGCCCACACTGCCTCATTCCTGCTAACCCACACGCATATTGTCAGGTTTTCCTTTTTAAACAAACAAACTCATGTTCTTCTCTCTCTCTTCCAGCTACTGACCCACTTTTCTCTGCTCGTTTACAATAACATTCTGAAAGGACCTGGCGCATAGGAAAGGAGGTGCTTAGTAGACAATTGCTCAGTGAACGAACAAATGAAATACTAAAAGGAGTTAGGCTTTTGTGATGACCCAGGAGTGGGCTGATTTAAACCTGCTGTTAATGAGAACAAAAGAGAAAGGGAGCCTGGGGCCCCGCTGTGTGGGAAATCCCGTTGACTTCCTTCCAATTTGTGGTAAACTAAAAGTGATCTAAAAACAGTCTTTTAAAAAGGGAGAAGGTGGGGTATAAACTCAGCAGGAAAAATTTTTAAATCCATGGTGACTTATTTTATATACAGTTGACCCTGAACTACATGGGTTTGAACTGAACGGGTCCATGAAAGGGTGGATTTTTTTTTCAACAGAAAGTATTATATTACTACACAGTCCAAAGTTGGTTGAATCTGCAGATGTAGAATTGTGTATATGGAGGAAACAAGTATATGGAGGACCAATTATAAGTTATGCGAGGATTTTCAACTTTGTAGAGGGTCGGGCTCCCAACTCCTGCATTGTTCACGTATAAAGTATATTTGGATGTGAGAGTTGGACTATTAAAGAAAGCTGAGTGCAGAAGAATTGATGCTTTTGAACTGTGGTGTTGGGGAAGGCTCGTGAGAGTCCCTTGGACTGCAAGGAAATCCAACCAGTCCATCCTAAAGGAGATCAGTCCTGGGTGTTCATTGGAAGGACTGATGCTGAAGCTGAAACTACAATACTTTGGCCACCTGATGTGAAGAGCCAATTCATTGCTAAAGATTCTGATGCTGGAAAAGGTTGAAGGCAGGAGGAGAAGGGGACAACAGAGAATGAAATGGTTGGATGGCATCACCGACTTGATGGACATGAGTTTGAGTAAGCTCTGGGAGTTGGTGATGGACAGGGAGGCCTGGCGTGCTGCAGTCCGTGGGGTCCGTGGCTTCAGAACGACTGAACTGAACTGAACTGAACTGAAACTATGTTGTACGATAGGAGAGGGAATATAGGAGAATTATAGGAGAGGGGATAACCCATAATTTTAGTATTCTGTGTTTGACGATAAGATTAATTTGTGGTGCAATGGATGGATATACTTGATAGAATAATTTATTTGCTTCAAGTATTTTCATCTTCTATATATCTTTTCCTTCTAAGAATAAAATCCCTGTTATTTGAAAACACATTTATTTGTGGCTGCACTGTGCTCCGCTGCTGGACTTTCTGTGCTTGCAGCAAGGGGGGCACTCCCCAGCTGGTGTGCGTGGGCATCTCACTGTGGGGGCCTCTTCCGTTGCGGAGCACGGGCTCTAGGAGCGTGGGCTCAGCAGCTGTGGTGCACGGCCCCAGTGTCCCCGAGGCACGTGGAATCCTCCTGGACCAAGGATCAAACAGGCATCCCCTGAATTGGGAGGCAGACTCGTAACCGCCGGACTACCAGGGAAGTCCCAAACCCTTATTATCTTGGCATTACAGATACTTGTTTACCAGGTAATCTAAGATTTCCAGCTACTGATTCATGTTCAGAAGTGAAGGGTCCCTTGTCCAGGAAGATCTGGAAAAGCTCCCTTGACCGTATTTTACCACTAATGGCCAAGCTCCAAAGCTCTCCAGTAGAAACCTGCTGCATCAGCTCTTTTGCATTCCAACTGCTGACTCATAAAGGTTTGGCCAAACCCCAAATCTGGTATATTTTAGATCTTCGCCTCCTGTCTCCTTGCTGTCAACCTGTCAATAAAGCTTTTTTTTTCTCCCTCAAAATATGGTACCATGATGTTTGCTTCTATGCTTGTCCATCCTTGGTAACCCCAGGAGTTAGAATTTCAACATATCTTTTGGGGGACACAATTCAACTCACAGCAGAAGCAATGTAATTAGGGAAGACATAGGGAAGGATTGGCAAAGAAGAGGAAGGGATTAATCTAGTTTTGAGTATGTTGAATTTGAGTTGCCTGGAGAAGGAAATGGCAAGCCTCTCCAGCATTCTTGCCTGGAAAACCCCATGGATGGAGAAGCCTGGTGGGCTACAGTGGATGGGGGTCACAAAGAGTCAGACACGACTGAGTGACCTCCCTTTCACTTTCACCTTCCCAGGTGGCGCTAGTGGTAAAGAACCCACCCGCCCGTGCAGGAGACCTGAGAGACACAGGTTCAATCCCTGGATGGGGAAGATCCCCTGGAGGAGGGCATGGCAACCCACTCTTGTTGTCTTGTCTGGAACATCCCATAGACAGTCATAACCTGGCAGGCCACACTCCATAGGGTCGCAAACAGTCGGACCTGACTGAAGCGACTTAGCACGAGGCAGTAAGGCTGTCATGCCCAATAAGCAATCCAAGTACGTTTAGGAGTTTCTGGCTGGTGGGGGAACATAGAGTCATAAGTAGCTGGGTGGGGCTGGCTGTGAAACAGACAGGCGCTGAACCAGAACCTGAGCGGCCACGGCTTTTAAGGGGCAGACTCAGAGAGAGGAAACCTTGGGGGAGACTTGAAGGGAGTCAGCAAAGAGGTGGTAAAAGAAGAAAAAAAAGAGAAAACAGTGTCAGACAAGACATGAGAACTTTTTTGAGAAGAAACGCAATGCCCTTTTTTTTTTTTAGGTCAGCAGCACCCTGTGCTGCAGAAAGACTTAATGAGAATTTTCATTTTCATAGGATGATTTCGTGGCTCCCTGGAAAGGACTGATGAATATCCCTTGGATTTGCAGATAGGCATATCAAGAATAGTTTGGGGGGAACAACAGGGGCTGAGGCAAGACTTTGGAGGGGAGGCGAGGTGACAAGCCAGGACAGGCAGAACTACAGCAACAGCGAGTACAGGAAACTGTGCTGTGGAAGGATGTGAGCGGGAGAGGCATGGCTAGAAATCAGGAGGCGTGAGCAGGTTAGTGTTCAGAGGAGAAGTGAGAGGTGAGAGAGAGCTTCGTCTGTTGGGCTAAGGAACTCGGAACTCAAGCCTCCTACTTCAAGCAAAATTCCTTCGTTTGGATCTCTTATACAGTGGGTTTTTTACACATTATTTAATACGAAGAGAGTTCTGAAACATCTTTGAAAACTATTGAATTAGATGTTTTCAGCTCTAAAAGCAAGTCTATTATTAGCTATAGCTCTACGCAGGGTAATTTATGGTAATAGCTTGAATGAACTCATTCAGACAATCTTGGTTTATTTAAGGTCATGTTTTCAAAAGGACCTTAACTACAGGAATAACTGTTATAGCTATAATGATTTCATTTCAGTTCCTGACTAGCACAGAAAATTTGGATATATGTAAATTTTACCTTTAAATATTGGCTTGCATTTAAAAACCAGCTGAGCTATTAAAAACACCTGTGAAGATTTAACACTGAAATGAGATTTTTAATAGTGGTTTAAATTATTTTTAAAGCCCTTTGTTTAAGTAGATTCATTGGTCATGACAGACTTTTGAAAAACATATGTATTCTTCATCATTATAAATAAGATTATGATGGTTGGAAGAAAAAAGTTATAATCACATTTAATTCTACCATCTAGCACTAACCAGTATTTCCATATCTTAAATTCATTATTATTGTGAAGTGTTTCAAAAGTTAACAAACATCTGTTTATGCACACTGGCTTTGGTACAATAATAGTTTTGTGATAGTTACTTAAATTTTTTTTAAAGAACTGTCTTAAGTGTTGAATTGAAGGCCCCTCCTCACTCTATTTTTCCTTCCTTCCCAGAGGTAACCACTATTGGGAGGTTGGTGTATATCATGCCGCTCTATGTTTTTATACTTTCACAATGTGTAACTATTCACTAAGAGTGTGCAGAGTCACCAGCAGTAGAACATCCCTCCTCAGTCAAGGCTTCTTTCAAGATGGTCTCCACTGGGGCTCCTGGCAAGGGCAGGAATGCAGCTGTGCATGTGAGCATGGCTGATTGGGGTTGGCAGGCAAGCCGAGCTCTTTACTGCAGCTCTCTCTAGGAACTGTAACGCAATGGCAGGGCACCAAGGCTGGTGTGGGAGGGCAGCCTCTTCCTAGGAGGTCTGCCAGGCAAAGGCTGTGGCTGGACCCGGAAGGCCACACGGAGGATTTTGGCCTTGAGGAGCTTTACTTCTCAGTATGGTAACTCTATGTTTAACATTTTAGGAGCTGTCTTCTGAAGTGGCTGCACCATTTTTCCTTCTCAGCAGCAGTATTTGAAAAGCCCAACCTCTCCCCTTGTTTACCAACATTTGTTATTATCTGTCTTTTTGACACTAGCCATCCCAGTGGATGTGACATTATATCTTACTGTGGTCTTGATTGGCATTTCTTTGTGACTAATGATGTTGAACAACTTTTTCTTTGCCCGTTTACAATTGGATTATTTGTGTTGTTGTTATTGAATTGCAAGAATTCTTATTTAGTCTGCATGTCTGTGTGCATGCTCAATTGCTAAGTCGTGTCCAACTGTTTGTGAACTCCTGCATGGACTGTAGCCCACCAGGCTCCTCTGTCCATGGGGTTTTCCAGGCAAGAATACTAGAGTGGGTTGCCATTTCCTCCTCCAGGGGATCTTCCTGACCCAGGGATCAAACCCATGTCTCCCGCATCTCCTGCATTGGTAGGCAGATTCTTTACCACGGGGCCACCTAGGAAGCCCACTTACTCTGATACCAGACCCTTATCAGATACATGTTTTTCAAACATTTTCTCCCACACTGTGGATTCTTTTCTCACTTTCTTCATAGGGGTCTTTGAAGTGCAAAAGTTTTTAAGCTCAATTTGGATGCTGCGTTTAAGTGTCATATTTAAGAAATAATTGCCAAATCCAAAGTCACAAAGACATACCGATGTTTTGTAGTTTTAATTCTTATGTTTTGGTCCAGGATCCACTTAGAGTTAATTTTTGTATGTGATGTAAAGTAGAAGTTAAATTCAATCTTTTGCACGTGGGTGTCCAGTTGTCAGGACACTATTTATTGAAGACTATTCTAAAATAAGCTCTGGAACTTGTGAATATGTTATAAGATAAAGGAAAATTAAGGTAGCATAACTTATATGCAGAGTACATAATGAGAAACGCTAGGCTGGAGGACGAACAAGCTGGAATCAAGATTGCCGGGAGAAATATCAATAACCTCAGAAATGCAGATGACACCACCATTATGGCAGAAAGTGAAGAAGAACTAAAGAGCCTCTTGATGAAAGTGAAAGAAGGGCGTGAAAAAGTCGACTTAAAGCTCAACATTCAGAAAATTAAGATCATGGCATCTGGTCCCATCACTTCATGGCAAGTAGAAGGGGAAACAGTGGAAACAGTGGCTGACTTTATTTTTCTGGGCTCCAAAATCACNGTTGGATGGCATCCCTGACTCGATGGACATGGGTTTGGGTGGATTCTGGGAGTTGGTGATGGACAGGGAGGCCTGGCGTGCTGCGGTTCATGGGGTCACAAAGAGTTGGACACGACTGAGGGACAGAACTGAACTGAAGGTAGCATATGGATTTGAGACTGCTAATCCCAACATACAATAAGTGTTTTCAAATATGAAAGGGAATCAGTGGAGTGTCAGAATGATATACTGTGATAAAGACTCAGATGGCCACTGTTGGCTTTAAAGACAGAAGGAACCATAAATCAAGGGAAGTGTACAGTTTATACAAGCTGGAAAAGGAAAATCAAAGAAATGGGTTCTCCTCTAGAGTCTCAGGAAAGAATGTGCCCTACTAAAGTTTAGATTTTAGCCTACAAAGAAACATTTTTAAGCCATCCAGAACTGTAAGATAATGAATTTGTGTTTTAAGCTACTGTTTGTGATAATTTGTTACAGCAACAAGAGGAAAAACTAACCCAGCTCTCTTAACAGTATTACTTCTTTCAATACTTAAACACAAGATGACTTTTTCTTTATTTAGGTCCTCTTTCTTTCAACACTGTTTTCTGGTTTTCAGTGTAAAGCTGTGTACTTCTTTTGCTGCATTTATTTCTAGGTTTTATTCTTTTTGATGCTATTTTAAATAAAATGGTTTTCTTACTTTAATCTTGGATTGTTTGTTGCTAGTCTATAAAATATAATTGATTTTTGTATATTGATCTTATGCCCCGCAACCTTGTTGAACTTGAATATTATTGGTAAATTTTTTTGTGGATTTCTCTGAACTTTTAAATTCATCTGTGAATAGAAATAGTTTTTGCTTTCTTTTTTCCCCAATGCAAATGCCTGTTATTACTCTTTCCTAACTGCCCTAAAAACTTCACTACAATGTTGAATAGAAATAGTAAGGTCAGATATCCTTGTCCTGTTCCTTTTCTCGGGGGTTGTTAGGAAAATTTGGATTAAAAACAAAATATGCTGCAAACCTAGACAAACTCTCAAAAAAGCAGAAGAGAAAGAAAACAATTTTATTACAGAATAAACATTAAATCAGAATGCGGTCTTCATCACAGATAATCCACTAAAGTGATTGCAAAGACAGAAAGAAAGTTTTATGATTTCTTACAGCTCAGCAGATGCAGCCAATTACACACACGCTCTCAAGATAAATAACTAGTAAGAGGAAATAACCACCATTCGTCACAAATAGTTCATCCTATATTCACTCGGTAATTAGGGTAGTCACTTGTGTTGGCTAATTACCTTTATTCTGAAGAGACCTCGCAAATTTCTCATATCTTTATGACAGGAAGTAGGTTTATAACTTGAAACCAGGTGCCAGCCAAAGTTTGGCTCTTAAACTGCTGTGAAAACTGTGAGGTAGGTAGGTGTACTGTATTCTTTGATGATCACATTCAAAGAGATGTCTCCTGAGTCTTTAAGAAAAGATTTCTAGGTTGTAAATACGTTGAGGTGCTTATTTAGGTTTTAAAAAGATTTACATAATCTTAAAAGGGTTTAGAACAGATTCATAATTGCAAGTCTTCATTTTTTTTCCATTTATTTTTATTAGTTGGAGGCTAATTACTTTACAATATTGTAGTGGTTTTTGTCATACATTGACATGAATCAGCCATGGATTTACATGTATTCCCCATCCNAAATTGAAAGATGCTTGCTCCTTGGAAGAAAAGTTATGTCAAATCTAGACAGCATACTAAAAAGCAGAGACATTACCTTGCCAACAAAGGTCCATCTAGTCAAAACTATAGTTTATCCAGTCATCTATGGATGTGAGAGTTGGACCATAAAGAAAGCTGAGTGCTAAAGAATTAATGCTTCTCCAACTGTGGTGACCATAGGGTTACAAAGAATCAGACAAGACTGAAGTGACTTAGCATGCTTGCACGCATCTTATCTCAGGCAATAAGATACAAGTCTTATTGTTCTTCTGTTTCTTAAAACAGTTTGTGAAGGACTGGTGTTAGTTGTCATCCTCCTTTCCCTCCCCGCCTCCTTCTCCATACTGTATGATTTCATCTATGCTGATAGAGGATTGTTCCTTGGGTAGAGATTGATGGGGAAGGGATGTAATTGGTCATGCAGGGGATTTTCTGAGGTGTTGGTAAGCTTATATCTTGGTTAGTCTTATCTATTTTTAATTTGAGTGAGGTTGATTTACAATATTCTGTTAGTTTCAGGTTTGCAGCATAGTGATTTAGCCATGTATATATTTTTTCAGACCATTTTTCATTATAGGTTATTAAAAGATATTGAATATTGTTCCTGTGTCATAAGTAAATCTTTGTTGCTTTCTATTTTGAGTATAGTCATGTGTATCTGTTGTTCCCATACTTGTAATTTATCCGTGCCTCCTTTTTCCTTTGGAAACCATACATTTGTTTTCTGTCTGTGAGTTTATTTCTATTTGCATATAGATTAACTTTTTTTTTTTCAGATTCCACATATAAGTGATATCATATAATCTTTCTCCATCTGACTTACTTCACTAAGTATAATATTCCTTAGGTCCATCCTTGTTGCTGCAAATGGTAATATTTCATTCTTTTTTTTTAATGGTTAATATTCCATTGAAAATATACACCCCATCTTCTTAAGCCAGTCATCAATGATGGACATTTGGGTTGCATCCCTGTCTTGGCTATTGTAAACAGCTATGAATATTGGGGTGCATGTATCTTTTTAATTTAGAGTTTTTATGATTTCTGGATATACATCTAGGAGTGGGATTGCTAGATCATGTGGTGCGTCTGTTTTGAGTGTTTTGAGGATGTTGCATATTGTCCTCCATCGTGGCTGCAACAATTTCCCCTCCTACCCTCAGGATACCAGGGTTCCCTTTTCTGTGCATCCGTTTTTATGTTCCAGGATACCACTGAGGAGACCGTATTACATTTAGGAGACTTGTCTCCTTAGGTTCCTCTTGGCTGTGATCATTTCTCAGCTTGTCCTTATTTTTAGTAACTTGACAGTTTTGAGGTTTACTGGTTAGGTATTTTATACTTTCCTCAATTGGGATTTGCTTGGTATTTTTCTAATGATAAGACCGGAATGTGTTTTGGGGAGGAAGATCACAGATGTAAAGTGCTATTCTCATTACAACATATCACAGGTACAAACTATCAATATGACTTATCCCTGTTGATGTTAATCTTGATGACCTGGCTAGAGGCAGTGTTTGTCATTTTTCTCCTCTATAAATTTATTCTTTCCTCCCTTTCTTTCTATAAGCTTCTCTTTGAAACAAAGTACCTACATGTACCCCAAACTTATGGGAAGTTATAGCATATCTCCTTAAGGTGGGACAGCTACATTTTTTTTTTTTACATTTTTCAATATATTTGTCTATTCATTCCCAATTTACTTAGTTATTCAGTCATTTATTTATATTGCATTGCAGATGGATTTTTACCAACTGATCTATTCAGGGAAGCAATTGTTTATATTAACATTGACTAATACATATCTATTTTATATTCTGAGTTGTAAACTAACAATACTTTCTATGGACGAAATTGTGCCCCCCCCATTCATATGTTAAAGCCCTAAATCACAATGGAATGGTATTTGGAGGTGGGCCTTTGGGAATGAACTAGGTTTAGGTGAGGTCACAAAGGGGGGACCCTCATGATGGGGTGAGTGGTCTCATAAGCAGAGACACCAAGAGCTTGCTCAGCCTCTTGCCGTCTCCTCCCCCACCCTGCCACGCGAGGGCACAGTGACCATCTGCAGGCCAGGAAGACGGCTCTCACTGGGGTACAGAATCAGCCAAGCCTTGATCTTGGACTTCCAAGCTTCCAGAATTGTACGAAGCAAATTACTGTTTATTTATGTTCAAGCCATGCAAATTTGTATTATTTTGTTATAGCAGCACAAACTGACTAATACACTGTTTCATTTTGTTGCTCAAACTGGTCTACATTTGGCCACCGGAAGCCCTTTAAGTTGTCTGCTGTATCCTTGTGACACACAGTTCTCATTGCCAGCTTTGTTTTGAATACTAACTTTCTGGAGCTACAAGGCGCTGCAGGCTTATTTAGAGTGTTTCAAGCCCCAGCCCTAGAGTTGGTGGTTTCTCGCAAGGTCCTGATTCTTTTTTTGGACAGTGGTATTAAAGGCCAGACTCCACTTCATCAGGATTGACTCAAATGTGTTATTTTTTTATAGCTGAGTAAATCCCATTGTATACATGTGCCACAGTTTCTGCATCCGTTCATCTGTCGATGGACATCTAGGTTGCTTCCACGTCCTTCGTATTGTAAGGAGTGCTGCAAACAACAGTGGGGTACAGACGTCTCTTTCAATTATGGTTTTCTCGGGGCTAGTAGTGGGATTGCTGGGTCTTATTGGTAGTTCTATTCCTAGTGTTTGAAGGAATCTCCACACCGTTCTCCTATTTACAGGGCAGTGATGGAGACACGGGCATAGAGAGCAGATTTGTGGACACAGTGGGGGAGGGAGAGGATGGGACGAGTTGAGAGGGTAGCATGGAAGCACATACATCCCCATTTGTGAAAGAGACGACAAGTGGGGATTTGCTGCGTGATGCAGGGAGCTCAACCCAGCGCTCTGTGACAACCTCGAGGGGTGGGAGGGAGGTCTCAGAGGGAGGGACATGTGGATACCTGTGGCTGATTCATGTTGATGGATGGCAGAAACCAACACACTATTATAAAGCGATTATCCTCCAATAAAAAATTAAAAAACAAAACCAAAAACCGAACTCTATTGCTAAGTGTGCTCATCGCTACCAGGATGTCACCATTTCTAGGCCTTTTCATATGACAGAACAAGGAGACATATGTACATACTAACCTTTGCATATACACATATTCATAAATACTTCTATAACCATCTATATCTATTAAGCTAAACATGAGTTTATACTGTTGTCGCCAACCCTGATTTTTATTACCCTCTTATAGGCTAATAGAAGAGTTTTCTTGAGTAGTACTCCTTTTCTTGAGTATCTGTAATTTTCTATTTTAATGGAGAGGAACCTGGCTCTTACCTTCTGCCATCCATTTACTTAATTGTTCAATTCTGGTATACATACATAGCAGTATCAAAGCTGTTAGTCTTTACCCCTAAGGGAAACAATTTTATTAACTAGAGTATATCAAAGAGTGTTCTGCCTATGTTTTCCTCTAGGAGTTTTATAGTATCCAGTCTTACATTTAGTTCTTTAATCCATTTTGAGTTTATTTTTGTGTATGGTATTAGAAAATGTTCTTTAATAGCTTTTTGGATTCATCTCCTAGACTTAGGGGAAATAAAAACAAAAATAAATGAATAGAATCTAATTGAACTTAAAAACTTTTGCAAAGCACGGGAAAGCATAAATAAAGCTAAAAGACAACCTATAGAATGGGAGAAAATATTTTCAGATGATGTGACTGACAAGGGATTAATTTCCTAAAAATATAAACAGCTTATAGAGCTCAATATTAAAATCAGCCCCATCAAAAAATGGGCAGAAGATCTAAAGACATTTCCCCCAAAGAAGACATACAGATGGCTAAAAGGCAACATGAAAAATGCTAAACATCACTAATTATTAGAGAAATACAAATTAAAACTACAGTGAGGTGTCACCTCACACTGGTCAGAATGGCTATTATCAAAAAGTCTACAAATAATAAATGCTGAAGGTGGTGTGGTGAAAAGGAAACTCTCCTACACTGTTGGTGGGAATGTAAATTGGTACAGTTACTATGGAGAACAGTATAGAGGTTCCTTAAAAACCTGAAAATAGAGCCACCACAGGATCCTGCAATTAACTAGACTATAGCCCTCATCTTTTGCCTGTCCTGTTATTGCCTCTAAAATATGGAAGGCTTTGCACATTTGCACGTCATCTTTGTGCAGAAGTCATTCTACATCTTCCCTGTCATTCTAGATTCTGTTTGCTGGATCCTCCCTGTTGCTAATGAATCCAGATAAATGTAATTAAATGGCTCATCTCCATGATATGTTCCTTTGCTTAGTCACTCAATCGTGTGTGACTCTTTGCGACCCCATGGACTGTAGCCTGCTGGGTTCCTCTGTCCATGGGGATTCTCCAGGCAAGAATACCAGAGTGGGTTGCCATGCCCTCCTCCAGGAGATCTTTCCAACCCAGGGATTTTCCAACCCAGATCTCCTGTATTGCAGGCAGATTCTTTACCATCTGAGTCACCAGGGAAGCCCATGATATGTTCCTATTCTCTGCTATTTCTTCTTTGGAAAGTGCCTTAAAAATTCAAGAAGGCTCAATAGATGTCAAGATAAGGGTGCCAGATTTACTCACTTACTTTCTCTTGTTTTAGGTTGGTGGGGTATTTGAGTGCCATGAAGAACAAGGGACAGTAGTTCAGAGAAAAAATATGAGCCATTATTCTGATTTTGTGGTGTTGGGCAAACAGGAACA